CCTCAAGGGTCACTTCAGTTGCGCCTTCAAAATTTGTCAAATACAGTGTATTTTTAAAAAAACTGATTCAGGCGTCTTAGCGCAAGTCTTCTAGAATCTTGAAGTAACTGTCTGGCGCCTAGGCACCAAATCCTAACTCCATGGCGTTGGGCTCACTGTTTCTGCATATAGGGTCTGGCGCCTAGGCGCCAAAAGCTGGCTCCTAAACGCTAGTTCATTTTTTGCCCCTTCGCTTTTCTTAACCCCAATTACTCCATTTTTGCTATTTTTTTCTCCAAAACTCCATCTCATGTACCTAAAACAAAAAGCATGCAAAATACTTTTCATTAAAGTCCAATATCATTAAAAATGAGAATAAAATTTTTATGAAAAAGTAGCACATTTTTTGGCATGTCAGTAACCATCTCTTCAATTAAAGAATATGAATCATCAACTAGTTTTGACATTAATAAACCACCAGCATCAGCGTCCATGATAGATCTAAGGGATTCTACTAACCCATTATAAAATATTTGAATAATCAACCAGTCTGGCAAAGCATGATATGGACACTTCTTAAGGAGTTCTTTAAATTGCTCCTGTTATCGGGGGAGCGCAGATGCTTACTTAGGCATACATAGGCACACAAGTGTCCATACATGCAAGTGCACGTTGTCTAGAGGCAAAAATTTTTTGAAGTTTTTGCTGAAATGATAACTTTAATCCATTTTGGAAGACAAATAACTAAAGCAATCAAATATTACAGTTGATTTTGGTCAAAATAATCTCCGAGGCGAGAAAAGTGGAGCTAAAGTGTGAGTTCCACCCCATGAAAATAGAAATTTTTGTCAAGAGCTCAAATGAACTTTGAATTGGTCATTTTTTATGTTCCAAGCTCAATTTGATTATATTTTGTGTTTGGAATTGATTTAAGCTCATTTCAAGGACAAAATCACAATTATAATCCAAATTATCATATGTTAAATGAGCTTCAAAATAGAGTCAGATTTATATGAGGATGAGCTCATTTAAGAGATTTCACTAATCCAAATGTGTTTGGTTAGTCAATTTTGTAAAATGACTCTTCGATGAAGAATTTTTACATATGATGAATTCTATGCAAGAAATCTCACCACATAAAATTTCACATAAAAAGCTATCTGATGGTCACTAAAACTTATTTCATGTTGCTCATACTTTAATAATGGACCAAATGTAGCTCATAGCATGAGATTTTAAGCACTACAATGACCTGTAGAGAAAATGACAATTCCAGAGAATAAAATGATAATTTTAGAATATTCTCTCATCGAGCTGCATTTCCGTCCAACTTTAAGAACTGATGAACTTAATTGATTTAATTTCTATATTGTGTGTTTTATTTCATGTTTTTTTAATAAATTGAGGGGAATTACAAATTGAAAAAAAATTGAGGTCAACATCCATAAGTCGGACCATTTTGCTTGATTAGATGAAGCCCAAATTAATTTTGATGCTCTAAGAAAATATATGAGTTAAGCACTCATTCTACCACTTTTAAATTTCAATTAATGTTCGATGTGGAGCATGATTTCTTCATTATGAGAATTGGGGATGTGCTAAGTGAAGGAAGGAACCCTATTTCTTTTTTAGTGAAAATTGAATGATTCCAAGAGAAAGTATTTTAGCTACAATAAAGAGTTTTATCATATTTCAAGTGCCCTCAATCACTAGAGTCATTATGTGCTAGAACATGAATTTACACTCTATAGGGACCACAAGTCCTTAGAATTTTTGAATAACCAAAGTAAGCTAAAGGTCAGATATGCCTCATGGATAAAATTTCTCTCATCTTTCTATTTTGTGCATAAAATTAAGGCAAAGAGTCAGAACAAATTAGTTGATACACTGAGTTATCGCTTTTTATTAATTTGTAGTTTAAGGTAGTTACTTTTGTGATGTTGAGGGACTTGTACATAATTGATGATAATTTTTAAGATATTTAGATCTGATGACATGATAGTCGTATTTGCATATCATAGATCTATTGGATACATATTCTTCTAGAATAGATTGTGCATTCCTCGAAACTCCCTTATGGAAAGTATTTTAAATGCATCACAACTGGGGTATGATATGAAATTTTGGTTTAGACGAGGCTCTCCCCTTAGTAAAAGTGAAATTTTACTATCTCATATTATTACAAGATGTGGAGACACACGACAAATAGTGTAGGGTATGCCATTGATCTAAGAGTCAAGGACATAATATAGGTTGATACACTCCTCTTCTCATTCGCAGAGGCACTCTGATTTGAAACGAGCATGAATATTGTGGTAAGCTTACTTCAGACACAACAAAATAAAAATTCGGTCATAGTTGTAATAGACCATTTCTGTAAGATGACAAAAATTATTCTTTTCCAGAAAATGATGGACACGTCACATATTAGAGACATAGACTTTAAGATGGTAATTTGTCTTCATGCGGCCAATTAGGTACAAAGCTTCAGTTCAATTCAACAACCATCTATTAGATATATGGGCATATAGAGTGTCTAAACTGTAGTTTGAAAAATTTTCTTAGATGATTTCTGAGATAGAACATCAGGTACTATGATTTGGTTCTTCCATAAATGGAGTATGCATATAATCATTCTACCAGTCGGTTTATAGGTCACAGCCCATTTGAGATTGTATAGAAAAAAATTCTCTTATATCTTTGGAGTTAGTACCGATTCTATTAGCTATTGAGCTTTACACTAATTCCAATGTCAGAATCAATGATATTCAGACCCTACATGAAAAGGTCAGAATGAGAATTGCTAAACATAATACTAAGGGGCCATTTGTTTGTGCTTTTTGGCTTGAGTTCCAAACTGCTATAGCCTCCCATGCATTTTAATAACGCGTTCAATGAAATACAAACGAACCACGGCTTCATTTTCATTAAAATCATAATCATGGGTCACTATATGCTTCAGTGTCCTCTTTGCATTTAATTACCATTGTCATTTTTGTTGGTGCCTACGGTTTGCATTTGCCTCCTCTTCGCAGCAACCCTGCACGATCTCTGTGTCACCAAGAAAAAACTAGTAGGAATGGTTACCTCTTCAGCCTCTCTCCATTTTAAGATAGTAATCGCTTTTCCCATTTCACTTGTTAATTTGATACATATTTTTTATCTTCAAAATGGAGGTTAGATTCGACGCATTCTATTTTCTTGGGTAATGCTCTAATTTTTACTCCAGTAGAAAGCCGACACATTCCTGTCTTTCAATTTCTGTGCCCTTCCTCTTTAATTTTTTTATGTGGCCATTAATGGGATATGGATGTGTTACTGTGCTCTTGTGCCTAGTGGTGAAGCTTTGAGATGGATGTAACTATCTATGGTATTTGTAATGATTTTTTGGTCTATACATACAACCTAATTCCTACATATTTACATATCAAACACCTAAACTTTACTGTTTACATCTATGGAGCACAAATCTTTCATACGACATCAAATATACCACCATTTTAACTTTTAAAAGTGGAATACTCTTTTTCATGCATAGATAAGGTTGCATGTACGTAATAATTGAATTTTGGTTTTTAGATCTGTAATTACATAGAAAATGAGTAGATGTATGTAAATTTTCATTTTTTCACTTTAACTCATAAAGCTTGGTTTTATTTTTCCTGTCATTGACGTGATTTAATAGTGCTTGAAATTCTTGGTTTAAGTATCATCATTTTCTAGAGCTTAATACATCAAAATCCCGTTATTATTTTGTCATTGTTATCGTAAATCTTTGAACAATTTCATGTAAATTAATGCTTTTTATGATAATTTGTATATGGAAGAAGAGGGCGAGACTGAGAATATCATATCATTTATAATCCTTGATGAATTGTCAGCCCAAGCATATCATGTCATTTTTGGTGGTTGTCCTCTATGTCAAAGGAGGAAAATTTTTTCCAAGAAAATGGACATAAATCACCAAATGGGAGCTTAGTAAACATAGGTTAATAGTTCAAAGCACTATAAATCCTTAGATGCTTCAGTGTATGGTCGATCCTACTACTTCATATAATATACTATTTCTCTATTATCCACACCATCATTGAATTGAAATTCTAATATTTATTTTATTTCACTAACTCCCTAATAGTGCAGATCCATTTTTGATGTGTTAAACTTTCATTGCTTATATTTACTTTACTTAAATCACCAAGTCAAATGAATTAGTTGTAGTACACATCTATTATATAGCACATTAAAGCCTCCCTCTACATAGCCATTTTCTCTTGTTGATTTTTATTTGCAACATTTATTTACTGCAAATACTAGCTGCTAAAATTATCTAATCCTGATAATGTTGATATTTTAATTTTATATTTCACTATAAGTTGCCTAATTGTTTCTTTTGATTTCTGAAAATTTTGATGAATATTAATTATGATCATGTAATTAAAACATTTCAGATTATATATCAACTTAATAGATACAATAACAAATGGGCAACATAAGAGATGATGCATCATCCGCTATATGGGACAAAAAAAATAATTCTTTGTAACATTTGTATAAAAGAGATTTAATTAAATTTGCGAACGATACATTTCAGCAAAGAAGGTTGACAGAACATTACAAAAAAATTACAAGAGAGATTCTAAAGATCATATGAATGGGAGAATAAATGACTGCAGTTAAAAAATAAAGTTTAGAAAATAGGAAAGTAGCTTCAAAGAGAAACTAGTGGACTTGGTTGGGATCCAATTAAAAACGTCATAGATGCATCAATGGTTTGGTGGAAGGAGAAGGTAAATGTGAAATAAATTTTGAGACATTTGTATTTCTATTTCATTTATACGTAGAATTATTAGACATTACTTTTCTTTTGATTGTATGAATGATATAAAACTAACATGTACTGCATAAGCATTTAAATATTCATACTCACATTTAAAAAAAAAAAAAATGAACATACGCAACATCCATCAAGCATACGGCCGATATTTGAAAACTAAGACAGAATTCATTAAATTCTTTTAATATTAATGTCTTAAAAATCCAAAGAGTTACAGCAAATTTAAACAAACAAAAAGAGGAAATTATTGTCCAGTTAAAATGGCAAAAAAACCAATTGCAGAGAAAATATTTTAACAGAAATCAGGACATTCAATACCGCCACTTAGCGATTTATAAATGTCTTTAGAGCTTTGATCCAAGCTTGATACCAAAACCTTGTCTAACGGGAAGCTTCAGGTCTTCCCATCCTTCTTCATCCACTCTGGAGAAATGACGATCAACCATCTCATCATTTATTAATTCCAATCTGGAAGGTTCCCACTGCATACACCAGTGTGAAATTTCAACGGGAGGGCAAAGAAAAAAAAAAAAAAAACAAGGAAGTTTTCTATTGAAAATTTGAAAAATGTGAGGTGGAAGGTGAACCTTTGGGTTTTTGTCTTTATCCACGAGCAAAGCTCTGCAACCCTGCCATGACATGGGGGACAGTTCAGGGATAGCTTGTAGTTATTACGCTAAAGTAGCATACTGTGCAAATTTACAATAGTGCGGTGGAGAGAGAGAGACTTTAAAGGGGTTAAAAGATAAGGGCATTTACAAACATACCACCAAATTCTTATGTAGTTACATAAAGTCTTATTTATTTTTTCCATTTATACCACCCAAATCTTTCATATCACAAAAAAATTATCACGATTTTAACTTTTTAAAAAGTGAAATACACATTTTCATGCATATAAGATGGCATATACATGTAATAATTGCAATGTTGGTGCTAGATATTTAAATACATAAGAACTGAGCCGTACGTATTTAAATCTTTCCAAAAGATATCCAAATAAATTATCGAAAGCAAACAAAGGCCTAAGACTGCATCATATTTGTGCTATATAGTAGGCTTCATGAAAGAATATTACACATTTTAAAAAATCTACATAAGAAAATCATTTGAACCGTATACTTTTATGCGGGGTAATTAAGTTTGCAGTGTCGTCTATTTTCATAGGTTTTTTTTTTTTTTTTTTTTTTTTGATCAGCATGAATGAAGAAATGGCAAGAGCTTCATGTGGGTTTTATTTAGGAGTATGTCATTTTTCTTAATGAAAAGCTTGAATCCAACAAAGCAAGTATAACATATTGGCACACAAATGTAATATATTTACCATTCATTAGATAAAAATTGGGTCAAAATATCTTTACCAAACTTTGGTCAGGATGGAATTTAAAATCATGAATTTGTTTAGTGATGATTGTGGTACAAAGAGTCGATTGATTAATCAGTATTTCACTCATCTAGAAGTAAATCTAAAATTTAAAACTACTCGACCCAATCTCTCCCCATTCATTAGTAGAAGGGGAAAATTTGGAGAAGTAGCGGGCCATATTTTTTTTCTTTCTTTTATTCTCTTTTTCTTCTTATGTTCCATTTATTTTTTGTTTAATCTATTTACTTTTTTCTTCGCATAACTATTTCTTTTTTCTTTTCTCTTCCTTTTTCTTTCACCTTTTTATTTCTTATTTGCAGGTCACTTGATTGTTGTATATATCATTTCTGTGTGGTATTCATGTTTGAGTCACGTTAATGTCTGTGTTTCATGATGAAAGGTAGATGTTGTCTTAGAGAATAAGGATTAGAAACACAAGCATGTACATGTTGACATCTTGATATGAATAGTGATGAAGATTCAGAGCTTAGTGCATCAAGAAAAGCTAAAATGTTCCCAGTAGTTCCACATCTCCTTATCAAGTTTTGATGAAAACAAAGCACCAGCATATAAGAGCCTACTTGGCATTTTTAGACTAAAGGACTATTTGGGATCACTCATGATTTTTGTTATTTTTATTTTATTTTTTAATATTTTGATTTAAATTAAAACAAGTTGGATGCTCGATTTAGGCAGTTGTTTCTAAAACCACTCGATAAATTTTAGGCATTTTGAATATTTTTAAAAATATATTGAATTGTTTTAAAAAAAAGAATAAGAACACAAATAAATTATACTACCAAATATGCTTTCAAAAACACAAGAAAAAATAAAAATAAAAAACAAGAGACAAAGAAACCAAAGTGATACTAAAGGGACCCGCAGTTTCATCCGATTATGATATGTACAACCTCCACTCAATCAATTGTAGTATATCCAGAGGTCCTACGATCCAATTCAATCATATTGAGCACCAATTCAGTCAAATAAAGCCACAAAAGACTTGGGATTAAATTCTATCGGTGCCTTGAGATAAATGTCTAGAATAAAAAAATTGTAGTCAATTAGCTAGAGGCTTTTTCTGATCCCAACTTATATTTTGGCAATGGGACAAATTGGAAAAGCAAAAAGCTCCATAAAAATAAAATGGCAGAGTCTTAGTTGATGACTGCACAAGATCTCGGAAAGTAAAACTTCAGTGTTAATATCATATTGCATACAGATATAGGTACCTCGAAGAAATCTTTGCTTGCCTCCTTACGCAAAATGTGGCAACTGACTCTGTAATCCTTAACAAGGCAGAAACCTACACTTTGGAGCCGCCCTTCTCTGATCTAAAAAAACAGTGATTACAGATTAAAAGCATTTCTTTTGCGTATTTACCAAGAAATACCCAGCAAACTGCCCCAGGTGCTAAAACGAGGCATCTACATACCTAACATTTAATTCTTAGGTATTTACATATCTAACTAAACTTTACTTTTTACATTTATATCACAAAAAAAATACCACAAGTTTAACTTTTAAAAAGTGAAATACAGCTTTTCATGCATAGTCAAGGCCGTATATATGTAAGAAATAAAGTTTGGGTGTTAGACATGTAAATACATAGGAATTGTGTGGCATGCATGTGCATCATACAAAGTAACATTAAAAAAGAAAATTTTACTGTTTCAAAATAACAATTAAAAAGAAAAAGAAGAAAACTTTACACTTTACGTAACATGCCTTCCATATAGAAAATTTAGTATAATTACTAATGAGATCGCAGAATCGCAATTTAAGGAAATAAAGATATATCATACAAGTACATGTTAACCAAGGATATATGCTAGCCCATACCGATCGAAGAGAGATCTTGAGACTCAGAGGAGAAGCTTTCTTCAAAGACTGAACAGCAGCCAGTGCCCACTCGGCATTATTTACAGCCTCCAGCTCCTGCAATGCAGCGAGGATTGAAAGACAAGTTTTGAGCTCAATATTTAAGAAATGATAAATTTAAACAAAAAGCAGGATATGAGTTCAAATGACCAACAAGGAATATTGAGAACTTAGAAAAGAAGCCATATCAACTGGACAATCGCAGATATCAACTTACAAGAGCTGATATAATTTCTTCAACAGATTTCTTAGAAAAGCACTTATCAATAACATCCAATCTGCAAAACAGAGAAAAAGAGGGCCTTAGAAGCAAAAAACTGTGCTTGCAGGTCAAAAAGACATGGATAGGAATGGTTAAGGGATCATTGCATGACGATGCCTTGAACCTTTTGAGTTATAACATAATTACAAGCCCAAAGCCAGCCACATATCCACCAAAAATAACAAGCGATCACATACACAAATTTCTCTAATAAGTAATCAAGATATAATTTAAAATAACGATGATTAAATGATAACTAGTTGTAGTAAGAAAAACAACCAAAAGTTCAGACCACATGTGTCGAACAACAAAACACCTAATGAATGCCCATTTACACTTGTTTTTAAGAATGAAATATTAGGGGACCTGGTCTAATATGTAAGTGGATGGAAACTCATTAACCCAAAAACTTAAGCCAGCAGATCACAGGCAATAATAGTTAGAAACTCAACCATTATATTATTTTTAATATGAGACCATTCCCTAATCTCATATACATCTCGATAATCTTCCAATTTACAAACTCATTATAACACAATCATTTCCCCTCAAATGAAAGCATTTAATAGCATTGAGTATCTTCAGTAGGTGTCCATGATGAGGATTTGCATTAGCTCAAATTCACAATCACCAAGGCCTAGATCGATGAGATGCTTTACGAGATGGTTACACTTCCCATTTTTCATGCCAAGAGTCTACACTTAATAAAAATCACTCCATACTCCTCAAATACTAGAAGGACCATGGAGTGCCAACATGTCGCGGGTAAACTTACAAATGCTGCACAAAAAAATTGCTTATGCTTATCAAATTTGTCATGGAGAAAGACAGGAGTCTTGCTCTTTTGCAATAATAAATACTGGAGATCTACAATTACAACAACTATTAAAAGAGCATGCACTAAACTTCCATTAGCCACTAGGATTGCCCTCCAATGTGACCCACAGAACATGACAAGCATATTTCTACCAAATTGACACACGAGCTTTCCACATAATCGTGGGATAGGAAATTCCATGAACCTGAAATTGCAGGATTCTGTATTATCACGGAATTGGAAGACCCGCGATCAATAGATAGGCAACCAGGCAGCTTTCCCATCTCATTATCAAATTTAGTAATGATTTTTGCCTTTTTTGACTTATTTTCTAATTTTTTATTTCTAATTAGAATTATTTTCTATAAGGAACTATTTATATATTGTTATTTTTTAATTTAGTAAACTTTAGTTTTATTTTGTGTACTTAGGAGATTGTAATACATAATTTTTGCTCTAAAGAGTACCAGATTCTTCTCCTTTTGCAATTGGCGTCTCTGGAGCTTTGCATCTGTAGCTTGTTCATGAAGAGGTAGTGGAAACTTCTCTTAATCCGTACTTCATTGTTTGTCATTCGCCTCACTATTTTTAACTAGGATAGCCGCCAAACAACTCCTATCCCCATCAAAAGGCCGTCGACCTCGCATACTATCATCATCTTACTATTTTACAACCACCTTTCTCCTAAATCCACTTCCAAAATGCCATTTTGGAAGCCATACAATGATCTCACAAATGTTCCTATTTACCATAATTTGACATCAAGAATGAAGAGACCAGAAAGAAGATTGTAGAGTTACAAAAGAATTGAGGCTTCTAGCCCAGCAATTTGCATTGTACATCACCCACTGTGAAGGTTCTCAAGAAGAATGGCACGTGGAGACCATGTGTTTAGTGCCATGCACATAAAACATGATCAAGAATTTTTGTCCGTTGTCATGACTTAATAGATCAATTGAAGCCTGCCACCATTTCTCTAAGCTTCATCTTGAATGTAGCTATATCATCAAATGTGCGTCAATGATATTAATATATATATAAGGATGCATTCAAGAAAAGGAGTGGGTTATGCCTTTATAGCTCTAAAGCACACCCGTCACCATCTTGAGGTTGCTAAATGCTGTTATATGATTTTACTTGTATGAATTCGTTATTATCTATCTCTACTGTAGTCTAAATTTCAATATAATGTTAGAAGAGCGCTTAGAACATTTGGATAGGTTGTTCAAACTACTACAGCAGCATTGGCACCATCTCAGTATGAAGAAATGCAACTTCATTACACTACTATATCTTAGATATGTGAATAATGGAGAGATCAAGAATAATCCTACAAAGTTGGAACCAATAAATAAGTGGCCATGATCGCAGACAATGACTAATGTAAGAAGTTGCATGAAAACCTGCCAATGCTAAAATCAATGTCTAAAAATGCACAATTGTTTTGATATGTTTTCTATATGTGAGCCTCACAATTTGAAAACTGCATACTCAGAATAAATGGGTAAGATGATGTGGAGTTGACCAATTGACCAGTGTTGACTAATTGAGTCCCAGGGTTGACCAAATGGATCGTAGAATGGTCATTAGTCTCATAGGTTGACCATGGCGGTATGGGGTTGACCAATTGATCATGGTTGACAATCGGGTCCAGGGTTGACCAAATGGTCAATGTGGAAACCGTTGGTTCCAAGGTTGACCAAATGGTCACCACAGACCAAATGGTCAATGAGGTGACCATTGGGTCTAGGATTGACCAAACGGTCAAGGCGGTGACCATTAGGTCCAGTCAATTTAGTCAAAAATTTGTTCAAATTAGGGTTTTCTATTGTTGACTTAACCGGTCTAGGGTGTCACCAAGACTTGGGCTGAATAGGGGCACACTAGGGTTTAATCCAACTCTTAGGGTTTGGGAACCCCAGTAGGTTCAAGGGGTCAATTTTGGTAGAACTCTTCCCCAAGATGGACTTGATGGTCATAGTGCTCTTAAGGTTTGCAGAAGAATCCTTGAGAGCTTGAATTGATTTGCATCGTTCAATACATGTCCTGATCAAAGGGGTTTTGATTTAGAAGAGATCCTCACAAAAGTAAGGTCAACACCTATTTCGAGCGCATTCTTCCGAGAGCTTATTTTACTGTAGTTATGCTTTGATCCACTCCAAGGCAATGCACTGCGACATCTGGAGATAATCCTAGCATTTCATCATAGCTTTAAGCAAAGTAATCCTTGAATTCCAACAATAGTTTGATTAAATTTGTAGACTCCTCTTCACAGAGTAGAGAACTTATTAAAATAGGTCGGGGCTGCTCCTCAGTCTCAAGGTTGACTTTCTTTAATTAATCCACTGTGGTTTTGATTTCCTCTTCGGATTCTAGCGGAGCATCCTCTATCTGCTGATCTTTAAAATCTTCTCCTACATCGAAGCACTCTTCTACCGATCCACTAGTAACAACCATGCAAAATTTCAAATCATCGACCGACCCTATTATACCAAATCCGAGAACGTCTTTTGAGTTGAGAGTTTGACACTTAACATTCAATAATTTCTTAAAGAGCTGCAACTTATCCTTCGGCATATATCCTTGTTGAATTAGTTTTTTTATACACGGGGAAAAGTATCAAAATGGTAATTCCATTAATTCATTAGAATCATCTTCTTCTAAGTTTACATAGGTTTTTGAATTAAAAGATAGAGAAGCATGGTAAAACTTGATCGGTTTCAAACCAACACTCCGGACTTCTTAACCCTCATACTCTCGATCTGTTGACGGTGAATCAGAGTTAAGGCCATGGCTTCCACATAGTAGTTGATCCGATAGTACATCGATGCGTGTTCACTCTTTTCACCATTCTCCAAGGAGATCTCAAACTGGGGTTTCTTCTGGCGCACTATGAACATATCTTTATCGGATTTATCCTCCTCAGAACTTCCTTCTACGTTGATATTAATAGGTGGATTCGTCTATTCAACAACCTGGTGAGTTCTTTACCCGCGTCTCTAACTTTGATCTCGGATGCGTGGGCTAAAAGAGCCTCCACCGACTCTTTGCAAAGGAGCAGTGGGAGATTCTTGATCCCATTCTTTTTATCCCTTTGAAATTTCATCTTTATTTAGCATGACCTCTCTATAAAGAGTAGTAGGCGGTGTCTTTGTGGATGCCTACTTCGTGTATCGAAAATAGTTGTAAGTCCCCTTTTATATAGTGTTCTTGTCCTTCTTTGTAAGTGATGTAATGATGACAGAATCATATTGTGCACATGAATCCACGGATGTCCAACTAGAGTGTTAAACAAAGTCTCCGTGTTGATAATATGGAATTTTGCACTTATTACTAGATCACCAACCTTCATCAATAGCGTTATTGATCCAAGCACATATTCTCTTTTCTAATTTAATCCTCTTAGAATCATCTTTTCGGCGGTAAGTTCTCGAGCATCAGTGTCCAAATATGCTAACATCTGTAGACTTATTAGGTTGAGCGACGTCCCTGGATCTACTAGAACTCTATAGAGCACAAATCTGTCGATGCTGACTGAAATATAGAGTTGTCAGTTATGATTGGTACTTCCGAGTAGCAAATCTTCGTCAGTAAAGGTTACCTCGGGTTGTCCCTTTAACGAACAAACTTCATCCGAGGATGTGCTAGCCAATTGAGCTAAGAAAATTTCTAGATCAAGTAAGACCTTGATCAATGTTTCTCTCATCTCCTTTGACAGGATCAGAGCATCATAGATGTTTAATTTGGTTGGCAACCTCCTAAAAGGAGCTAGTACGTTGTAATCTACTTTATTTGAACCTCTGATTTCCTACCATCGACGGATGTGACTCTTCTTGCGTGACTATTTATTTTCCCTTTTTAGTTGGAGCCGCTCTCGGGGGTAAACCTTCCCACTCCTTAAATTCACTTATGTTATCTCCTTTTCTTTTAACGTGGTAGCTGACTTTTTGGTGCTGATTCTAAATCAGAGAAGTCCACGTTGATTGTGATTGGCATTCCTTTGCACTCGAGGACTGGCTCCTCGCTCCCTACACTATTGTAACCGGTATCATCGATGTCTCTTTCATTTTTATTAACGTATCCATCTAGATTTTTTATGATTTGAGGGTTGTTTTGGGAATCGAAATCGAGGTTAGATTGGTTGAGGTCAGTTACATCATTAGTAGAAACAGTCAGAACATAGTCGAACTCATAAACCT